AGGCAAAGAAAACCGTAATGGCCCATAAGCCGTTGTCAGCCAGCCATACCGAACCCCCAGACCACGAGCTACATGTCTTGCCGGGATTTTAGGTCAGGAGATATTGACACTCATTGATGAACGTTCAGCGGCCGCTAACGGAATTCACTTGTCCCGCTGCGTTTTGGGACTCATTCTCGAGCCCCGCTAGCCGTCCTCAGCCAGTCATACCCTCTGCCCCAGGTCGTCCTCAGTCCCGAGGCTCGAACTCGCGACCTTTCCGGTCAGAAGTCTAAACGATTTAAAGGCTCAGCGACGAGCTCCTTGTCTTTGCTGCCATCTGCCTAAAATACTAACCGCTGTGCGGCTGCTGTCAAGGCCCAAAAAAGCAGACCAAAGGCAGAGTGGAACGAGTGACGAGTGTCAGAATTTAATGATGTCATGATGTGTCGTGACTCGCGCTTTCAACTGCGCACGTTTACTGCGTATAAACAAGTCAAGACAAACTGTGCAATTAGGGATTGACCTAAAGGGTAAATAGAACGTGAACAATTGGTTTATACATGAGGGTGCGCATGGTGGGGGGGGGAGGTAGGGAAAGTAGCTAGCAATTGAATTCAGACTAAAACGAAAACCTGTAGATCGTGATTAAAACTGCAACGCGCAGGGCAACAGTCAGCCATGCGAAAAGGAAGTGTGGGGGAATATAGTTATGTCCATTATCGAAACTGACACTGTGAGGTTGATCATCACGCGATCCAGCTGCCTACAGAGTTTCCTCCTCCGTATTACAGCGGCTCCCGAAAAGCACAACAGACGTCCTTCCATCATCCCAATCCATTGGGACCATGAATGAAGCCCATTGGATGACCAGTAGCCACCAGGTACTTCCCAATTGAAAGCAAGGGCGCCTTCACTTTCTACGCTCAACAATGATTTTGGCATATGTTCAGCTGACCTAGTTGCCAACCGCCTTTGCAGGCCCAACCAAATGTAAATTCATAAATACAGCTTGATTTGGGCAGGAAGTCACGTAAGATGCCTAAATTTGTGAAATACTGATAATCCCTTGCAAACGGGCATTAAATTGGGTTGTTAGTCAGATTATCATGCAGTCTAATCTCAAATCATTTCAGACAAGTTGGGATGCCGATTTTTAAAGGGTTTTTTTTTTCTGACCGCTTACAAAGAATTCATTCTGTAAAACACGCCTACTTAAGCAGTATGCGATAAACCCATTGATATTCATTGCCCTTATAAATTCAAATATATTTTATAGAAAAAATGCACGAAAATATTCGTTCTTTTGGTATATTGGTAGCAAATTACGCCTTCTTTAAATTCTCCACTTGCAGGAAGCGTAAATTTCAGCTTTACGAAAATTCATAATTACGATTGTGAAATATCCATCCATAGTACATTGTAACTGTCACTTTATTAAAATTGCCTATAATGTATACAGCATAATCAACATATATAGCAAAATTTATGAGAACAGTGTGACGTCCTCACACCATAGAGGAAAATGTACTTTTCCGTCGACAGCATGGAGTTTGGAAACCTTGATTTCAAGGTAACAGTCGGCAGGTTTCAAAACTATTCGGTAGTTTAGAAGCTTTTTAAAATATAAATATATCATACCTTTAAGAATAAAATTTGAAGAGGGCATAATTTGCTACCAAAAAATAGAAGCATAATTTTATGAACGCTTTCTATAAAATATATTCGAACTTATAAGGGCAGTCAAAATCAACGAGGTAAATGCATACTATTTAAGTAGTGCGTATATTGTCGTGACTGAGATGACTTAAGATTAAGCTGCACTATAATTACAGTACGCGCCAGAATTCGTGCAACATGCCGACATATGAGAAAGATTAATAC